CCAGCAGCGCTGTTAACATAGCAGCGTTAACAGTCGGTTGACAGTGTTGCTAACAGCGGACTGTTAGCTCGCTCTCTCTCTCGTGCCCTTTGCTCTCGCGCTGCTCAGTCACGATCCACTCGACTCTCCAGCACTGGCGCTAGAATTATGCTGCCCAAAATACATAGTGTCTCTTCAACTACGAACCGATTACAAGCGCACATCAGCCCCCAGCTGTATCAATTGACGGCCCCGACTACTTTTATTTGGGAATACGGTCTTTGGGAACCTCCAACATCCACCCTTCTACAATCATTGGTCCTTCGAGCCGGATCTTCGCCTTCCCTATAAGGAGGAGTCCAATCAGCAAGCATCGGTGGATTACATTCCGAAGATAAGTACGATTGCGTCTTCCCAAATCGATTCCTAGTGCGAATTGTTTTATTCCCCGCTAAGTCCGAGTTCCGCGATATATGTATATATATTCTTATGTACATATGTATATGTTCATCCAGTGCTATCCAGATTCTTTGTCGTGTTCCTTTGCATCCGATTTCTCCAGTGTGAACTAACAAAAACTACGCCGACGCAAAACATCAAGTCGCCACCCACTCCAAGACCAGCCAGTAGTAGTCCAGCTGCAAGGACCCAATCGGTTCTATTCCCATCTCCCGTCACCCTCCAGGTGCCAGCTCGGATCCACGACGATCCAGCCAGCCGTTACCAGTCCCGTCAGCTCTAGACCCTCCATGACAATGGCTCAATCCGCCACCACTACTGCACGAGCAAGACTAGTCGCCGCCATTGGCCGTCTGTCTCACCTAGAAGCGCGCATAACCGCCGCTCCATCCGCCTTACTTTCCGAGGTCCACCGAGGCCAAATCCTGAGCATGTGGGCGGAGGTCGAGGCGGAGTATAAGGCTGGCTCCGCAGCGATGGTTGACGATTCTCCAGAAGTACAAAAAGACATCCGAGAGAAGTACGGCGAATGCTACGGTGTATTTGAGCAGTGCCTAGCTGACCTCAATGCTCAGCTGGCCCAAACAGCAGTCCATCCGTCTACACCGCAAACCTACCAGGGCGGCTGTCGACTGCCCCCTTACGACATTGAGTTCTTCGCAGGAGATTACGTCCGCTGGCCTACTTTCCGGGACTTATTTACGGCAATTCTAGGCTGTCTCCGGTAGAGAAGTTATACCATCTCACCACTAGGACAAGTGGCGATCCTAAGTCCATAGTCGAGAAGTCCCCGCTCACCAACTCTGGTTTCGAATCGGCATGGGCGGCTCTCCGAAACCGTTACGAAAATAATCGGCTCATGGTGACCAACCAGATTAACATTCTCCTCTTTCTGCCTCGCGTCGAGTCCGAGACCAGTCGGGCTCTGAAAGAGCTCCAAAGCACTATGCAAGCGGTCCTAACCGCCCTTGGTCAATCCAAGGTCTGCACCGACAATTGGGATAGTCTCCTCGTGACTATCTGTGCCTCCAAATTGCCTAAATCTACCCGGGCTTTGTGGGAAGCGTCAGTCACTGACAAGAAGGAGGTACCTCCATGGACGGAAAATCGACTCCTTCCTAACTCAGCGGTACTTGACGCTAGAGGCCATGAAGTGCGACCCATACATTTCCAAAGGCGATCTGAATCCACCACCGTCCAAAGGTAATCAGAATCAGCAACACACCAGAAGTCAGTGCAATCCGTTCCGTTCCCAAGGAAATCCTGTTCCAAGGACGCCTCACTCGTTCCATAGCAACGGTAATCCAGGCAAGAGCACATGTGATCTCTGTTCCAAAGATAATCACCCTATCCAACTATGTCCTCACTTCCTGCACATGACCGTTAATGCTCGTTCCAGCTGCATTAAGCAAAAGAAGCTTTGTTTAAACTGCTTCGCAAAAGGCCATCAACTTCGAGAATGCCAAAGCACCCACAATTGTATCACTTGTGGGGGCCGGCACCTCACGCTTCTCCATCGTATCAATCCAGTTTCCAGAGAGTCCAATTCCACATCCGTACTTAATTCCACAGCTTGGCCAGACGTAAACCGGCAAGTACCTGCCGCACAAAATTCAAGTTCTTCCGAACCTGCGACGAATGTTCAGACGTATTTCGCTTCCGGCACAAGTTCTGTCCTTTTAGGCACAGCAATCATTAGTATTTGCCACCTGGGAACAAATTTCCGCGCCCGCGCCCTGATCGACTCAGGCTCTGAAGCAACGTTTTTACGGAACGTCTTTTCAACACGATTCAATTGCCATTCCAATGTATCCAGACTCAGGTCTCGAGCCTCAATAGACAGTATCCGCTCAATCCGTATCCGCTCTGTCGGTTTTCCATTCGCTCTCCGACTGAGCCGGGTTTACAATTAAACGCCGCAGCCTCCGGAACTGGCAAAGAATCTTCCGTTGCATCCGATCTCGCAAAGTTTCTTGAAAGACTAGCCAAGCCTTCCCTTGGCGGATCCAACGTTTTTCGAGAACTCACCAATCGATGTCCTGATTGGAGCCGATATTCTTCCATCCGTAATGTTAGGCTGCTTACAAACCAACATATGTGGCTCTCTCCTCGGGCTAGAAACCATTTTTGGTTGGGTGCTCAATGGTCCCGTGTCCAATACGGCGAGCCATCAAGTTGCATCCTTTTCAAGTCAAATTTCCAGAGTAGCTTCCAATGTCCCAAACGTGCCCGTCATCCGTTCCAAGCTCATTTCTAATGCTTCTTCGACTTTTTCAATCCCCCCTAGCCTTCTACATCTAGACATGGCTTCTCGATCCCGTTTCGACAGCACCGTAGAGAGCAGACGTTCCCGAGGTACTAAGACCTACCAATGCCGAGTCTGCTCTGAAATCCATCCTCTACGGAAGTGCCGCCGCTTTCTCCGCCTGGATTCGGAAAGGAGGCTCCAAGCTGTCCTCCACTTCAGCTACTGCACCAATTGCCTGGCTCACTAGCAATCCGGCCAGGATTGTCGAAGCGGTGATCGGTGTAAGGTGTGTAACCGGATACACCACACGTTGCTTCACATGGACAATGTGCAACACGCACACATTGCAATCCTGCAAGGGGGGAGGACTCGACCTCCGCCCACATGCTCAGGATTTGGCCTCGGCGGAACTAGGAAAGTTAACCTTTTTTGGTTTAATTCGTATGGAGCGGCGGTTATGCGCGCTTCTAGGTGAGACAGACGGCCAATGGCGGCGACTAGTCTTGCCCGTGCAATAGTGGTGGCGGATTGAGGCATTGTGATGATGGAGGGTCTAGAGCTGACGGGACTGGTAACGCGAGCGCTGGCTGGATCGTCGTGGATCCGAGCTGGCACCTGGAGGGTGACGGGAGATGGGAATAGAACCGATTGGGTCCTTGCAGCTGGACTACTACTGGCTGGTCTTCGAGTGGGTGGCGACTTGATGTTTTGCGTCGGCGTAGTTCCGGAGGCGGAAGAGATGCGTAGCCGACTTGGCGAAGTCACAGGCAAAGGGTCGCTCTGGATCGAGGTTCCCAAACAATGAGTGGATTAAATTGATACACTCGGAAAAGAGGAACGTTCACACTGGCTGTGGCAATATTTAAAAAAATATAATATATCAACCTCAGCTGGACTTCTTAATTTTCACCAATCGTTAATTTTTTAACACCAACTACAAATAAAAATACCTAATTATCAATATGAACTAGTTTCTAAGATTCAATATTATTAAAAAAAACCGACGAATTCAATTTTTTTTAATGTAAATTTACCAAAAAATTTGTATTTTCTTTTCGTGGTAGCAACCGCCAAACAATAAACAAAAAATTTGAAAAAATTGTATAATTTTATTGAATAACAAAGAACAGAATTGGGGGGTGTCCCCTTGAAAAACTTTTTTGATTAAATTCGGGCCAGACTAGTCTGCACTTAGCAGAATAGAGGTTTCTGACATAAATGCAATGGCAATAATGTGTAGAAATGGTTTGTTAGTTCTGCTTTGACATTTTGAAGCGATGCCACGTGGTAGAACTACAAATGACTACAAATGTTTTCACAATTCTTCAGAATTTTTCACAATTGCTCACTTTTTTTTGTAATGCTTAATTAAAGAAAAACAGAATGCTTTTAATATTTTAATTAATTTTAAACATCTTGCTCCGAATTCGGCTTAAAAAGGGTGGCTTTACTGTATTAACTTCGAAAGTCCGAATCGCCCTTTGTGCCCCCCTCGGACTGCAGCGGATCGAGCGCGGAATCGTTAAGTGAAAATTCAGTCAGCGGATTGAATAGTGATTTACTAAAAGGCTTATTATATTAACTTAAAATGTATAATTTTAAATTATTTGGATGAGGGTTAATACACCAAAATGCGATGCAATCGTAACTTAATTATTGTTGCCATATAGTCCATTCTTATTTAGGCAGAAATGTAAAATTTCAGCCCGATACAGTGATAGGTTTTTTTTATTTGAAAAATTTTTGGTTTTTGAGGAGCTTGTCACTAGTTTGTGAATGGAAAAAAAATAATTGCGTTCGATCATAAAAAAGTATTTTTTGAGAGGCAAGACGGCGAAGGAAACAAAAATTTGGATAAATATTATGAGGCTAATGCTTCTTCAGATTACCACAGAAAATATTGCTTTCAAAGTGCTGGTCGAAACTCCACTGCCGATGAAGTCCGTCCTACGTGGCAGCCTCTCTGATAAGGTTACACAAGTAAATGTCAAAAGAAATAGATGAAATGGTGTTGGCTGACGGGATAGTGAAGGTGTACTAGCTAGCAAATTCCACAAGGATTATAACTGAGCGCACACGCCAATTTTTGCGCGAGATCTGCATATGAAAGGCGCCGCGCTTGCAGACTCCAGACTAAAAACACGAGCGCACTCCGAAACAGTGTTAGGCCAGTCTCCAATTGCTTCCCCATCCATCTTATTCGCCTGATTTTGCTCCATAAACGGTTAACGGCTTTTATCCGTGGATTACTAATAGCGCTGCTGCCTATAACAGTATAAAATAATTATACGTCTTTTTTTACAACATTTTTCAGAATCATCTTTAATATGAAAAAAATGGGAGTACCAACGGAATCTACATTTCTTGATGTCAAGCTGCCCCAAACTATTCTTGAATCCCCTTCAACATCGACTTTTTTGCCAGATGAAGAGGCTGCTTTTTGTCCATTACTTCCAAGTAGAATTTTAGGTCCCATAGCACATCCATTGAGCCCCAATCATATGAATAAGGACGGTATTACATCAAAGATAATCAGTTTAGATTGTAAGGCCGAGTCAAGTTCTACAGATAGTAGTAGCGGGATTGCTATCGACGTCCAAGAATCTACTACCAACAACCTATTCCATAATGGAAGCTATCAACATCTACAAAATAACAATATTAATACAGAAGAGGTAATTTATTTGCATGGTATTTTAACTCAAGACTTATTTAACAACCAGTAGGGAACTAGTTTTGATACTTGGGAATTTTTAAGAAAAAATGGTCAAATTTTGACAAAATCTGAAATTCTGATTACGGCTAATGATTTATTCTCCACACTCATCTGTAAGCGGCCGGCTTCCTCAATCTCTTACCGATCACCATTCTTTCCTGGCATCCGCGTCTTCTTCCGACTGTCCTCTAGCGTGCGCCTCCTGGCTAGCCGGACGCCTGATTCAATTCTCCTCTGATGATCCGTCAGCGGCACCATTTAAGCAGGCACTCGGTGACGATCCTCTAGCCCTTGCTTCCGGTCTAAGAACTTTTCGACTTCATCTTTGTCCTTTTCTCTATCCTCCACTTCCCATAGTTAGGGCGCCTTTTGCTTAGCACGGAACTCATTCCTACTGCCTTACACCTCATCAACTGTCTCGCGTACTTCTCCACGGACCTCTGTCGTTGGCTCTCTTTTATAAGATAGATCTTCGCGCCAGACGCAATCATTCTGCATGGCAAAAGCGCAGAATTTTTACGAACAGTCAACTTCACTCAGTGAGGACTGGGAGAGGGGCGAACCATATTTACACTGATGGCTCAAAGTTTTACGGCCGTGTGGGTGGAGGCATATACTGTAACGAGCTCAACATCAGTCAATGCTTTAGGCTTCCGGACCACTGGATCATTCCAAACGGAGGTTTTAACAATAAATAAGACTAGCCAGGCTGGGCACTACCACACCTCTCCTATCGGAGAGGAAGCAAGTAGCGATGCCCTTGGCTACGTTTGAGCTTCCAACGCATGAAATTTTTCAGTTAACCATCACCTGCAAAATTTCCAGATCGATCTGGCCAAGTTGATCGAAGAAACGCTCGGAAGAGCTATACAGACTCAGTAGAGTGCAGTGCTCCGCGGTCACCTGAGACAATACGGGATGCTAGTAGATTGGCACACACTCCACTTTTCTGTCTCTGGCCGGCCTTGGAAAACCGTAGACTACGGCTTCTTGGGGCTTCTTTCCTCACGGACATTTCGGACCTATCCGAAACCAAATCAGGGATCTTGTCCAAATACATCGCAACAAGTTTCTCACCACGGTTCAGGCTATGAGAAGGGGTTCACGCCCGTGCGGCATCACAACGGTCCTATAGTAGGACCAAGTGAGCTGTTATCCAACGAATAGTCTGTAAATTTCCATTCTAGATTAACAGTACTTGGTCGATGGCTTGATTTTACCTGCATCTGCGCTGGATCGCTGCAGACCCAGTACCTAGTCGTGAGAGCTCTCTGATCTCGTTCGTCGCCGGCCCACTACAATTGGTTCGGAGATCGCTGCAGCGGCTGGCAGCAGCTGACTTCGCTGAGTGTCGCCTTGACCCTATTATATTTATATACCCGGTACTCAAAGCGTATAGGGTTAAAGGATAGAGTCTAAGATTTGTGTAACAGGCAGCTCGAAGTGTTCCATAGAGTATAAATATTTTTATGAATATTAACAGCCATTCAGAATATTTGAAATACGGACCTATGATCGTAAAATGGTGAAAAAATTCCTTGGGAGATCGTTTTAGTTAGCATTTACGTCCAGTGTCTGCATCGTCATCTTCAGCCACTTCGTGGGCAGAACGTTTCCTGGCGCGTGGCATGACCCTCTCGCTTTCATATCCAAAAACTGACTAACTGCGCAGTTCTTTTCTAATCGCGCTATTCTTTTTTCAGTTCATCACTCACACATGCAAGAATATGCCAACACATATTCAAGCCTTGAGTGTACTTCGTTTAGGTCGCTCTTGATCTGCCTTTTTGCAGACTTCTTCTTTTCTTTTATGCCTACACCTGGATGTGTCAGAAAAAAGGTGTTTACAAATACAAATTCTTTGTCTTCCTTTTTATCTCTGTTTTTTCACATGCTTTCAAAATATAAATAATAAATAATTTATTACTCTTTTATATAGAGCTACTTTCCTTAAATCTTACTTTTTTCAAATTGATCTAATTTTACTGCCTTAAGATACGGATTACCGCAAGTTAATCTGGTCAAATTTATTGAACGATTGTTAACTCTAAGTTCATATCACAATAAACCGGCCAAACAACATTATTTTCGTTACCATAGCTCACAGTTTAAATCACATTAAAACGGTCGATTACACTAGTTAACACGACATTTACGTTTAATTTTTTAACGAATTATGGTTTTTATACCCGTACTAAAAAAGAGTTATGGGGTATATTGTATTTTTGGTAAAAGTGGATGTGTGCAACATATAGAAGGAAACGTTTCCGATCCCATTAAGTATATATATTCTTGATCAGCATCAATAGCCGAGTCGATATAGCCATGTCTGTCTGTCCGTCTTGTTGAGCGCCTAGATCTCAGAGACTATAAGAGCTATGTCAACCAAATTTGGTTTCCAGACTCATGTGATATCACACTGCTACAAGTGTATATCAAAATTTCGCCCCGCCCCCTTCCACCTCCATAAAGGACGAAAATCTGTGGCAGGCACAATTTTAAAGATACGATAAAACTAAAAACTAAAAAACTAAAAAAAAGGTATCGTAGAGAATGCCCATATCTACCAGATTGCCGAATCTGAATCAGATGGGATCATAATTATAGCCAGAATGAAGAAATTCATTTTTAGTTGCTTCCCCCGCCTCCTACAGCAAGAGACCCGCTACTCATTCCCTTTCTCGCTCGCACACTCTGCCGCGTTCAGTGTGCGAGCGCTCTTTAGCGAAGAAGATGTAGAATCTAAATGGTACATGTAAAATCTACTTGTTAGATGTAGAATATACATGTTAGATGTAGATGTAGATAACAGATTTAGCAAAAAAGTGTAAAATGTAAAATTTTTAAGACTGCATTAATCATAAGCCAAAAAATGTATATACTGACTGAGTACGGGTAGAAAAGTAGAAAAGTCGCTTCTGGGGACGCGACTCTCACGTTCCTTCTCGTTCTTTATGGTTTACTTTTTCTTTTAAGAATTTTTAAAAATCTGGTATTTTTTAATGGTTTTTTTTAGAAGTTCACATAACTTAAGTATTTTTTGTCTATTTTTTCATGTGTTAGGTTTGGTTAACGAACCAGATATAAGTTTGCATAGATCTTTGCAGTTCTGAAAAGCTGACAAATGCAGCTATAAATCTGACCCAGACAATTTGTAGCTGCAGCTTAACGCCTGGAAGATATTAAGGTTTCAAACTAAAAAATTTCATCATTTTTTGCGGTATTCTTTTTAAATCCCGAAATCTATCAGAAAAAGTCATTTTGGTCCACAGCGGGAAGAAAAAGTTCAATTTTGTCGAGTAGTGTTATTATTTATCAACTTAAGCTTATACCGATCCCCATCTAAAACTTCGTTCACTAAAAATGGACCTCTATACTTCGGGTCTTATATGTTTTGGTGCTTTTTTTCATTCTTAAGCAGTACATACCCCTTGTAAAGCATCCTGCCAAGATCGCTGGTTCGTTTCAACCGCAGTTAGCATGGACTGAAGAGTACACATTACTCGCTCCACCTGGCCGTTGGCTCGACTAGCCCCTATTGCAATTAAATGCAAATCTATCTTTTGTGCAGAGCAGAAATCAGGAAACACTGTACTAGAAAATCTACGACCTTGATCTGCAATCAAGCGCGAAGGAATACCAAACAACGATATTGACGCCTTCACAGCTTTTTATACAGTTTCCAGCATCCAGTCTTACTGTATGGAAACAGGGGTAAAACTTGGTAAATCCATCTATTGGTACAATTACGTACTAATTTTGGTCGTTTTTACCACTAAGCTTTCCAGTAATGTCGATATGGACAGTGTACCGGCGAAGTTGAGAGTGTCGTTCTGATGTTTTAAAGCAAGCCAAATTTCCAATCCCAACGAATCCAATGCACTTTTGGTTATTTTACAATTCTTTTATTAACCTTTATTTTATATAAATGTATGTGGTGGAAAAAAGCGCAGCTTAAAAAAATTTCGTGTTGTTCCCTCTCTCTTCTTATTTCCCGATTGATTTATGTCTATTGGTTATCGATAGAAAATAATTTATACTGACCAAAGTTGCTTAAAACAATTTATATGTGATTAGTACATATTGGCGGCAACATTCCCCCCATCGTAAATGAGACATCTGGGCATTTTTTACCCCCTTCTACGCCGACATCTAGTACAGCTATTTTCGTAGCAGGTCTCTCCATGACGCCTCGATGAGTTTGTATGGTTGCATGACTGACTTGTCCATCTCTTGCTGTGACTCCGTCGATAATGCGTCCTTTTGGCTATAGGTTCCTGGGCAGGTTTTCATCCACAACAATTACAACGCTTCCGACGACTATTGGATCGGACTTCTCAAACCATTTTGTGCGTTTGGTAAGGACCGGTGTACATCCTTTGACCCAACGAAATTGTCGCCGAAAAGTTGAGTTTGATTCCAGCGCTGACGCAAGTCCATTGGTTCCGTTGTCTGAGAAGATTTCAACGGAGTTCCACGGCTTGCCATGAAATTGTGAAGGCACATAATGCATGAACTGGTGTCCTATTTGTATGCGATCTCAAAGTGCATAGCTCGGAGTCTCTTTTTCTTATGCCTGCCGACTTTTACTAGAATTGGCCCGAAGTAGTCTACGATGGTATAAGTGAATGGTTTCTCAGAGCCAATCTTGCTGGTGGAACTGGTGCCATTTGTGGCGGCTTTGGGACTGCTGCGTCGTTTTTGCATTTTTAGTATGCACTGCGTACAGTTTTGTATAAGACGCGAATTTTCGGAATTTAGTATGATGATTTTACGCTGTTGCTGATCGTCTCATGAGCCTTATAATGATGCTCCTCTTGGTAGTTCCTTATGATTAGAAATGAAATATAGCTTCGTCTTGGTAGTATGATGGCGTCATCTGCAGTTCATTTCGATGGACCTACATTGCGGCCGCAAGATTCATTTATGGTCGATGTACGGGTTCAGTCCTCTTAGAAC